GCTTAAAATAGGGCCATGCGGGTCCCAGAACCGAGGGGATTCTGTGGAGGTTCTATCCCCGAAAAAAGCTCAGAAATCCGGGCATAAATGCAGCACTGGCAAGCCTGAGACCCAGGGGGGGGGTCCTCGGAGGTTTTAACCCCGAAAAAAACCCTTAAATCCGGCTTAAAATAGGGCCATGCGGGTCCCAGAACCGAGGGGATTCTGTGGAGGTTCTATCCCCGAAAAAAGTTCAGAAATCCGGGCATAAATGCACAGCACTGGAAAGCCTGAGACCCAGGGGGGTCCTCTCTCTGGTCTCTCTGGAGGTTTTAACCCCAAAAAAAAGCCCTTAAATCCGGCTTAAAATAGGGCCATGCGGGTACCCACCTCCTCTGTGCCCACCTCCTCTGACCTCCTCTGTGCCCACCTCCCCTGTACCCACCTCCTCTGTACCCACCTCCTCTGTACCCACCTCCTCTGTACCCACCTCCTCTGTACCCACCTCCTCTGTACCCACCTCCTCTGTGCCCACCTCCTCTGTACCCACCTCCTCTGTACCCACCTCCTCTGTACCTATGTCTCTATTGACTTTGCTTTGAAACTCGCCACAGCATGATCCGGTCTGAACACAGCTTAAAGTAGTACTAGAATTTAATATGCTGCTATCCAGAATATATAACTACAATATATATTTCTGGTGTTCATTTTGACATGTTCAGATGAATTAAGTTTAAAAAAACTCCTTTGAAGTCGCACTTTTTCACTTCCGCATAGAAACGCTAGGGGGCGCCAAAATGGCGGCGATGACGTAGGAGAAGGACCTCTCACAGCAGCAGCAGCAGTCTGGGCTGAATCTGTAGGAGGTTTCACTGTCATCTGAACAAGGTATAAACATATTTACATCAGTTTGTACATAATAGTGTGCAACTCTTTTAACCTTTTAGCCTTATTTGTGAGATTCAAGCTAATTAGTGTTGGGCAAGTTAGCTAACTCTACTTGATATCATAAAACATGCTAACAAGGCTAATATTCGTGTTTACATTATGCCAGTCTCACTTTGCCTTAGATTTATTTACCACAATGTACATTGTAATATCCATAAATGCTAACACCTATTAACGGTATTTAATTAGCATTTTTATCAGTGATTGCATCACATGTAGCTTTTTGTTCATAAAAGTAAAACATTTATTTAATTCAAGTTATTTTGATTTAAAAAAAGAGTTGAACAGTATTATGTACAAAAACTGATGTAAATATGTGTATACCTTGTTCAGATGACAGTGAAACCTCTACAGATTCATCCCAGACTGCTGCTGCTGTGAGAGGTCCTTCTTAGAGCTCTGCACTTGAGCCCTTGGCCCGAGGGCCCCGACAGCCCGAGGGCCCCGACAGCCCGAGGGCCTCGACAGCCCGAGGGCCCCGACAGCCCGAGGGCCCCGACAGCCCGAGGGCCCCGACAGCCCGAGGGCCGGGCTTCGGGCCGATGACCACATAATGACCTCGGGCCGGGCTCGGGCTCTTCATTTTCAGAGCGGCAGAATAGATTTACGAACGCACCCACTGAATATAGCGTTCTATCACACTGTAGTGTTTGTTGTTCTGTGTAGTGTTGTCATTGACGACACATAGCGTTACTTACAAGTGTGTTGCAGCATCTGTGTATCATACAGCTGTGTATCATACAGCTGTGTATCATACAGCTGTGTATCATACATCTGTGTATCATACAGCTGTGTATCATACATCTGTGTATCATACATCTGTGTATCATACAGCTGTGTATCATACAGCTGTGTATCATACAGCTGTGTATCATACAGCTGTGTATCATACAGCTGTGTATCATACAGCTGTGTATCATACAGCTGTGTATCCTACAGCTGTGTATCATACAGCTGTGTATCATACAGCTGTGTATCATACAGCTGTGTATCATACAGCTGTGTATCATACAGCTGTACCATGTATAACTCCGCCCCCTCTGGCTAAGCCTGTGTTCATATCAGTGCGCGGCACTATATACTACGCTAAACATTGTTATGGGAGGTTACAAAAAAAAAATAATAAGTCGGGCTTGATGCGGGTTTCGGGCCTGAAAATTCAGAAACCATATCGGGCCAGGCCGGGCCGGGGCGCCACCCCCCTCGGGCCAGGGCCGGGCTCGGGCCCAGATAATAGGCCCGTGCAGGGCTCTAGTCCTTCTACGTCATCGCCGCCATTTTGGCGCCCCCTATGTGTTTCTATGCGGAAGTGAAAAAGTGCGACTTCAAAGCTATTTTTTTTACATAATCATCTGAACATGTCAAGATGAGAGTGAAATACTTAAACACATGTGTAGTTTATTCTGAAGCGAAGAGCCATTCACGGATTTAAATACCATGTATTCATCCGTGTGGCTCTTCGTTCAGGTAAAGTACTAGAATAAGTATCACTATCTCTGCATCAATGTCAGAATATATAACTACAATAAATGTGTTTATAATATTTCAGGTGTTCATTTTGACATGTTCAGATGAATTATGTAAAAAAATAGCTTTGAAGTCGCACTTTTTCACTTCCGCATAGAAACACATAGGGGGCGCCAAAATGGCGGCGATGACGTAGAAGGACTAGAGCCCTGCACGGGCCTATTATCTGGGCCCGAGCCCGGCCCTGGCCCGAGGGGGTGGCGCCCCGGCCCGGCCTGGCCCGATATGGTTTCTGAATTTTCAGGCCCGAAACCCGCATCAAGCCCGACTTATTATTTTTTTTTTGTAACCTCCCATAACAATGTTTAGCGTAGTATATAGTGCCGCGCACTGATATGAACACAGGCTTAGCCAGAGGGGGCGGAGTTATACATGGTACAGCTGTATGATACACAGCTGTATGATACACAGCTGTATGATACACAGCTGTATGATACACAGCTGTATGATACACAGCTGTAGGATACACAGCTGTATGATACACAGCTGTATGATACACAGCTGTATGATACACAGCTGTATGATACACAGCTGTATGATACACAGCTGTATGATACACAGCTGTATGATACACAGATGTATGATACACAGATGTATGATACACAGCTGTATGATACACAGATGTATGATACACAGCTGTATGATACACAGCTGTATGATACACAGCTGTATGATACACAGATGCTGCAACACACTTGTAAGTAACGCTATGTGTCGTCAATGACAACACTACACAGAACAACAAACACTACAGTGTGATAGAACGCTATATTCAGTGGGTGCGTTCGTAAATCTATTCTGCCGCTCTGAAAATGAAGAGCCCGAGCCCGGCCCGAGGTCATTATGTGGTCATCGGCCCCGAAGCCCGGCCCTCGGGCTGTCGGGGCCCTCGGGCTGTCGGGGCCCTCGGGCTGTCGGGGCCCTCGGGCTGTCGAGGCCCTCGGGCTGTCGGGGCCCTCGGGCTGTCGGGGCCCTCGGGCCAAGGGCTCAAGTGCAGAGCTCTAAGAAGGACCTCTCACAGCAGCAGCAGTCTGGGATGAATCTGTAGAGGTTTCACTGTCATCTGAACAAGGTATACACATATTTACATCAGTTTTGTACATAATACTGTTCAACTCTTTTTTTAAATCAAAATAACTTGAATTAAATAAATGTTTTACTTTTATGAACAAAAAGCTACATGTGATGCAATCACTGATAAAAATGCTAATTAAACCGTTAATAGGTGTTAGCATTTATGGATATTACAATGTACATTGTGGTAAATAAATCTAAGGCAAAGTGAGACTGGCATAATGTAAACACGAATATTAGCCTTGTTAGCATGTTTTATGATATCAAGTAGAGTTAGCTAACTTGCCCAACACTAATTAGCTTGAATCTCACAAATAAGGCTAAAAGGTTAAAAGAGTTGCACACTATTATGTACAAACTGATGTAAATATGTTTATACCTTGTTCAGATGACAGTGAAACCTCCTACAGATTCAGCCCAGACTGCTGCTGCTGCTGTGAGAGGTCCTTCTCCTACGTCATCGCCGCCATTTTGGCGCCCCCTAGCGTTTCTATGCGGAAGTGAAAAAGTGCGACTTCAAAGGAGTTTTTTTAAACTTAATTCATCTGAACATGTCAAAATGAACACCAGAAATATATATTGTAGTTATATATTCTGGATAGCAGCATATTAAATTCTAGTACTACTTTAAGCTGTGTTCAGACCGGATCATGCTGTGGCGAGTTTCAAAGCAAAGTCAATAGAGACATAGGTACAGAGGAGGTGGGTACAGAGGAGGTGGGTACAGAGGAGGTGGGCACAGAGGAGGTGGGTACAGAGGAGGTGGGTACAGAGGAGGTGGGTACAGAGGAGGTGGGTACAGAGGAGGTGGGTACAGAGGAGGTGGGTACAGAGGAGGTGGGCACAGAGGAGGTGGGTACAGAGGAGGTGGGCACAGAGGAGGTGGGTACAGAGGAGGTGGGTACAGAGGAGGTGGGTACAGAGGAGGTGGGCACAGAGGAGGTGGGTACAGAGGAGGTGGGCACAGAGGAGGTGGGCGCAGAGGAGGTGGGTACAGAGGAGGTGGGTACAGAGGAGGTGGGTACAGAGGAGGTGGGTACAGAGGAGGTGGGCACAGAGGAGGTGGGTACAGAGGAGGTGGGTACAGAGGAGGTGGGTACAGAGGAGGTGGGTACAGAGGAGGTGGGTACAGAGGAGGTGGGCACAGAGAGACCAAGAGAGAGAGGGTTCTGGGACCCGCATGGCCCTATTTTAAGCTGGATTTAAGGGTTTTTTCGGGGTTAAAACCTCCGAGGACCCCCCCTGGGTCTCAGGCTTGCCAGTGCTGCATTTATGCCCGGATTTCTAAGCTTTTTTCGGGGATAGAACCTCCACAGAATCCCCTCGGTTCTGGGACCCGCATGGCCCTATTTTAAGCCGGATTTAAGGGTTTTTTTCGGGGTTAAAACCTCCGAGGACCCCCCCTGGGTCTCAGGCTTGCCAGTGCTGCATTCATGCCCGAATTTCTAAGCTTTTTTCGGGGATAGAACCTCCACAGAATCCCCTCGGTTCTGGGACCCGCATGGCCCTATTTTAAGCCGGATTTAAGGGTTTTTTTCGGGGTTAAAACCTCCAAGGACTCCCCTTGGTTCTGGGACCTGTCATTGCTCTTTTTCAAAGACAGATTTCATGCGCTCTCTCCCGGGGAGAAATGCGCCCACCCTTATTCTTTGAGAATGTGTGTGTGTGTGTGTGTGTGTGTGTGTGTGTGTGTGTGTGTGTGTGTGTGTGTGTGTGTGTGTGTGTGTGTGTGTGTGTGTGTGTGTGTGTCTGTGTGTGTCTGTGTGTCTGTCTGTGTGTGTGTCTGTGTGTCTGTGTGTGTGTGTGTGTCTGTGTGTCTGTGTGTGTGTCTGTGTGTGTGTGTGTGTGTGTGTGTGTGTGTGTGTGTGTGTGTCTGTGTGTGGTGTGTGTGTGTGTGTGTGTGTTTGTCTGTGTGTGTGCCTGTGTGTGTGTGTGTGTGTGTGTCTCTGAGCACAGGGACTGTGTGTGGACCACAGGGACAGGGTGGAGCACAGGGACAGAGTGGAGCACAGGGACAGAGTGGAGCACAGGGACAGAGTGGAGCACAGGGACAGGGTGGAGCACAGGGACAGGGTGGAGCACAGGGACAGAGTGGAGCACAGGGACAGAGTGGAGCACAGGGACAGAGTGGAGCACAGGGACAGGGTGGAGCACAGGGACAGAGTGGAGCACAGGGACAGAGTGGAGCACAGGGACAGGGTGGAGCACAGGGACAGGGTGGACCACAGGGACAGAGTGGAGCACAGGGACAGAGTGGAGCACAGGGACAGAGTGGAGCACAGGGACAGGGTGGACCACAGGGACAGAGTGGAGCACAGGGACAGAGTGGAGCACAGGGACAGAGTGGAGCACAGGGACAGAGTGGAGCACAGGGACAGAGTGGAGCACAGGGACAGGGCACAGGGAGCACAGGGACAGGGTGGAGCACAGGGACAGAGTGGAGCACAGGGACAGAGTGGAGCACAGGGACAGAGTGGAGCACAGGGACAGAGTGGAGCACAGGGACAGAGTGGAGCACAGGGACAGGGTGGAGCACAGGGACAGAGTGGAGCACAGGGACAGGGTGGAGCACAGGGACAGGGTGGAGCACAGGGACAGGGTGGAGCACAGGGACAGAGTGGAGCACAGGGACAGGGTGGAGCACAGGGACAGAGTGGAGCACATATCCGTTTGTGCGTCTCTACAGAGCGGTCCGTTTGTGCGTCTCTACAGAGCGGTCCGTTTGTGCGTCTCTACAGAGCGGTCCGTTTATGCGTCTCTACAGAGCGGTCCGTTTGTGCGTCTCTACTGAGCGGTCCGTTTGTGCGTCTCTACAGTACTGAGCGGTCCGTTTGTGCGTCTCTACAGAGCGGCCCGTTTGTGTGTCTCTGTGTTAGTGGCCAGAAATCAAAGTACCATGTGTCTGTGTTAGTGATCAGAAAGTAAGCACCATGTGTCTGTGTTAGTGACCAGAAAGTAAGCACCATGTGTCTGTGTTAGTGATCAGAAAGTAAGTACCATGTGTACCAGAGAGAGACCAGAGAGAGACCAGAGAGAGACCAGAGAGACCAGACCAGAGAGAGAGACCAGAGAGAGACAGAGAGAGACCAGAGAGAGACCAGAGAGAGACGAGAGCGAGACCAGAGAGAGAGACCAGAGAGAGACCAGAGAGAGAGACCAGAGAGAGAGACCAGAGAGAGACCAGAGAGAGACCACAGTGAGACCACAGTGAGACCAGAGAGAGAGACCAGAGAGAGACCACAGTGAGACCAGAGAGAGACCAGAGAGAGACCAGAGAGAGACCACAGTGAGACCAGAGAGAGACCAGAGACAGAGACCAATGAATGACCAGAGAGAGAAAAGAAAGAGAGAGACCAGAAAGAGATCAGAGGGAGAGACCAGGAAGACTCCAGATTTAGAAACCAGAGAGAGACTATAGAGAAATCTGCCAAACCAGTTGAGTCGGTTGTGACGACTTCCTCCTTGGTCTTGTGTGTTTCAGAGCAACACGACAGAGACTTCTTCAGGAACAATAAGGATCAGTCTGTCTGTGTTAGTGACCAGAAAGTAAGTACCATGTGTCTGTGTTAGTGACCAGAAAGTAAGTACCATGTGTCTGTGTTAGTGACCAGAAAGTAAGTACCATGTGTCTGTGTTAGTGACCAGAAAGTAAGTACCATGTGTCTGTGTTAGTGACCAGAAAGTAAGTACCATGTGTCTGTGTTAGTGACCAGAAAGTAAGTACCATGTGTCTGTGTTAGTGACCAGAAAGTAAGTACCATGTGTCTGTGTTAGTGACCAGAAAGTAAGTACCATGTGTCTGTGTTAGTGACCAGAAAGTAAGTACCATGTGTCTGTGTTAGTGACCAGAAAGTAAGTACCATGTGTCTGTGTTAGTGACCAGAAAGTAAGTACCATGTGTCTGTGTTAGTGACCAGAAAGTAAGTACCATGTGTCTGTGTTAGTGACCAGAAAGTAAGTACCATGTGTCTGTGTTAGTGACCAGAAAGTAAGTACCATGTGTCTGTGTTAGTGACCAGAAAGTAAGTACCATGTGTCTGTGTTAGTGACCAGAAAGTAAGTACCATGGGTCTGTGTTAGTGACCAGAAAGTAAGTACCATGTGTCTGTGTTAGTGACCAGAAAGTAAGTACCATGTGTCTGTGTTAGTGACCAGAAAGTAAGTACCATGTGTCTGTGTTAGTGACCAGAAATTAAGTACCATGGGTCTGTGTTAGTGACCAGAAAGTAATTACCATGTGTCTGTGACCAGAAAGTAAGTACCATGTGTCTGTGTTTGTGACCAGAAAGTAAGTACCATGTGTCTGTGTTAGTGACCAGAAAGTAAGTACCATGTGTCTGTGTTAGTGACCAGAAAGTAAGTACCATGTGTCTGTGTTAGTGACCAGAAAGTAAGTACCATGTGTCTGTGTTAGTGACCAGAAAGTAAGTACCATGTGTCTGTGTTAGTGACCAGAAAGTAAGTACCATGTGTCTGTGTTAGTGACCAGAAAGTAAGTACCATGTGTCTGTGTTAGGGACCAGAAAGTAAGTACCATGTGTGACGTGTTGATGTGTTAGCGTTAGTACCAGAAAGTATGTACCATGTGGGAGCGGCGCTCATTGGTGCGTCACAGACAGAGCTGCACCTTTAAAGCTCGTGCACATGCCAGACATTCTTGTTGCTCATCCTGCTCCCATCCTGCCACCTGCCCCGCCTCCTTAGGTTTGGTTTGCTCTGGTTTGGTTTGGTTAGCTTTGGTTTGGTTTAGTTTGTGGTATATTTTCTACACACCATTCACCACTGCAGACACACACTCTGGTGGTGGTGTCTGGGTTGACACAGACTCTGGTGGTGGTGTCTGGGCTGACGCAGACTCTGGTGGTGGTGTCTGGGCTGACACAGACTCTGGTGGTGGTGTCTGGGCTGACACAGACTCTGGTGGTGGTGTCTGGGCTGACACAGACTCTGGTGGTGGTGTCTGGGCTGACACAGACTCTGGTGGTGGTGTCTGGGCTGACACAGACTCTGGTGGTGGTGTCTGGGCTGACACAGACTCTGGTGGTGGTGTCTGGGCTGACACAGACTCTGGTGGTGGTGTCTGGGCTGACACAGACTCTGGTGGTGGTGTCTGGGCTGACACAGACTCTGGTGGTGGTGTCTGGGCTGACACAGACTCTGGTGGTGGTGTCTGGGCTGACACAGACTCTGGTGGTGGTGTCTGGGCTGACACAGACTCTGGTGGTGGGGAGACTGTGGATCCTGAGGCTGTGGAGGTGCTGCACCTGTTGTTACTTTATGTCCCACTGTCCCTGAGAGCGTTACGTCATCGCAGCCAGACGTGTTCCCTGCGTGCGCGGTGACGCAGGCCATGCATGAAGCGGATTCTGCAGATGATGCAGAGTCAGTGATTTTGTGTTGTCCACTGCAGAATATCCATTAAATGTATCCCACGCTGAGTTGGTTCGGTCGCAGCAAGAAGGTCTGACTTTGGAAAGTTCATTTGATTTGGCCGTCTCCGAGGCACAAAACTCTGCTCCCACTAATGTCTACTGTCGCTGTGTCCTTGGGCAAGACACTTAACCCCACATTGCCTGAAGCTCCCGCTGAAACACCGAGGCTGTGGCACTGATGTAGCAGCCATCTTCCTGTGGACCCACCCCCTGCAGAGGATCAGAGGGACTGGTGCTATGAGCATTGGGGGCAGCTCTCATTACCACCCCCCGACCCAGAGATGGACTAATAAAGGGGTAGAATATGAATGAATGAATGACGAGGCACAGATAGAGAGTTTGGCAAATGGATGTTCTGTTCAGAAGGATGTGCTGTTCAGAAAGTACATGTTTGTGGGGACCGTGTGCACGATGCCATGTTCCAAGTTGTAGTTCCAGCAAAGTTTTGTTCTTGAGGTGAAGCACAATAATTCTGGTCACTTTGGCGTTCGTAAAACATATCTGAGTCTTCTCAAGCATTTCTTTGGCCGCGGGTGAATAGAGATGTGTCGGCGTTTGTTAAGACTTGTCACACATGTTGACAGGAAAAAGGGCACTAGCCCCAGCACCACTGCAGCCTATTCCAGCTGTAAGTGAGCCATTTGAATATTTATGAACAGATTGTGTGGGTCCGTTGCCGTGTGCTAGATCTGGGTGTAAATATCTCCTCCGTAGAAATGACAGAAACTCTCTAAACAACAGTTTCAATTGAAATAATATTTATGAATAACCAAAGTGAATGTTTTAATGAGGTTTGAAGTGTGTAGTGAGTGTGTGCGGTGTATGTGCTGTGAGAGTCTGCAGTGGTGAATGGTGTGTAGAAAATATACCACAAACTAAACCAAACCAAAGCTAACCAAACCAAACCAGAGCAAACCAAACCTAAGGAGGCGGGGCAGGTGGCAGGATGGGAGCAGGATGAGCAACAAGAATGTCTGGCATGTGCACGAGCTTTAAAGGTGCAGCTCTGTCTGTGACGCACCAATGAGCGCCGCTCCCACCGGAGAGGAAGGCTCTACGGCCTGTTAGCGACCGTAAGACCAGTCTCTGACTCTGGTCCCAGTCTCTGACTCTGGTCCCAGTCTCTGACTCTGGTCCCAGTCTCTGGCTCTGGTCCCAGTCTCCGACTCTGGTCCCAGTCTCTGACTCTGGTCCCAGCCTCTGGCTCTGGTCCCAGTCTCTGACTCTGACTCTGGTCCCAGTCTCTGACTCTGGTCCCAGTCTCTGGCTCTGGTCCCAGGCTCTGACTCTGACTCTGGTCCCAGTCTCTGACTCTGGTCCCAGTCTCTGGCTCTGGTCCCAGTCTCTGGCTCTGGTCCCAGTCTCTGACTCTGGTCCCAATCTCTGACTCTGGTCCCAGTCTCTGGCTCTGGTCCCAGTCTCTGGCTCTGGTCCCAGTCTCTGACTCTGGTCCCAGTCTCTGACTCTGGTCCCAGTCTCTGACTCTGGTCCCAGTCTCTGACTCTGGTCCCAGTCTCTGACTCTGGTCCCAGTCTCTGGCTCTGGTCCCAGTCTCTGGCTCTGGTCCCAGTCTCTGGCTCTGGTCCCAGTCTCTGGCTCTGGTCCCAGTCTCTGACTCTGACTCTGGTCCCAGTCTCTGACTCTGGTCCCAGTCTCTGGCTCTGGTCCCAGTCTCTGACTCTGGTCCCAGGCTCTGGCTCTGGTCCCAGTCTCTGACTCTGGTCCCAGTCTGTGACTCTGGTCCCAGTCTCTGGCTCTGGTCCCAGACTCTGACTCTGGTCCCAGTCTCTGACTCTGGTCCCAGTCTCTGGCTCTGGTCCCAGTCTCTGACTCTGGTCCCAGTCTCTGGCTCTGGTCCCAGTCTCTGACTCTGGTCCCAGTCTGTGACTCTGGTCCCAGTCTCTGACTCTGGTCCCAGTCTCTGGCTCTGGTCTCAGTCTCTGGCTCTGGTCCCAGTCTCTGGCTCTGGTCCCAGTCTCTGACTCTGACTCTGGTCCCAGCCTCTGACTCTGGTCCCAGTCTCTGGCTCTGGTCCCAGCCTCTGACTCTGGTCCTAGTCTCTGACTCTGGTCCCAGTCTCTGACTCTGGTCCCAGACTCTGACTCTGGTCCCAGTCTCTGGCTCTGGTCTCAGTCTCTGGCTCTGGTCCCAGTCTCTGACTCTGGTCCCAGTCTCTGGCTCTGGTCCCAGTCTCTGACTCTGGTCCCAGTCTGTGACTCTGGTCCCAGTCTCTGACTCTGGTCCCAGTCTCTGACTCTGGTCCCAGTCTCTGGCTCTGGTCCCAGTCTCTGGCTCTGGTCCCAGTCTCTGGCTCTGGTCCCAGTCTCTGGCTCTGGTCCCAGTCTCTGACTCTGACTCTGGTCCCAGCCTCTGACTCTGGTCCCAGTCTCTGGCTCTGGTCCCAGCCTCTGACTCTGGTCCTAGTCTCTGACTCTGGTCCCAGTCTCTGACTCTGGTCCCAGTCTCTGACTCTGGTCCCAGTCTCTGGCTCTGGTCCCAGTCTCTGGCTCTGGTCCCAGTCTCTGACTCTGGTCCCAGTCTCTGGCTCTGGTCCCAGTCTCTGACTCTGGTCCCAGTCTCTGACTCTGGTCCCAGTCTCTGACTCTGGTCCCAGTCTCTGACTCTGGTCCCAGTCTCTGACTCTGGTCCCAGTCTCTGGCTCTGGTCCCAGCCTCTGGCTCTGGTCCCAGTCTCTGACTCTGGTCCCAGTCTCTGACTCTGGTCCCAGTCTCTGGCTCTGGTCCCAGTCTCTGACTCTGGTCCCAGTCTCTGACTCTGGTCCCAGTCTCTGACTCTGGTCCCAGTCTCTGACTCTGGTCCCAGTCTCTGGCTCTGGTCCCAGTCTCTGACTCTGGTCCCAGAGAGAGACCAGAAAGACCGGAGAAAATGCGGCTGCATGATTACATGCAAGTACAGTTTGTGGCCTCACCTGTATGTGAAAGCCAGATCCCTCAGACCTCTGAAGCTAAGCAGGGCAGGGTCTGGTTAGTCTGTGATGGGAGACCTCTGGGAACAGCAGGTGCCACAGTGGGGCGGCTGCGGCTGTAAAGTGCCAAACTATGGTTGTGTCCTTAGGCAAGACACTTCCCCCACATTAGAATGAGTCTGGTGTGTGTGTGAATGGTTGGTGGTGGTGGGAGGGGCTGATGGCACAGACTGGTTGCCTCGCTTCTGTCAGTGTGCCCCAGGGCAGCTGTGGCTACAGTAGTTCATCACCACCGTGTTTGGAGAGAAAGAATTATGACACGTGTCCTGAAAAGTGCTGTATAAACCAATGCATTATTATTATTAAAATAAGAGAGACCAGAGAGAGACCAGAGAGAGACCAGAGAGAGACCAGAGAGAGACCAGAGAGAGACCAGAGAGAGACCACAGTGAGACCAGAGAGAGACCAAAGAGAGACCAGAGAGAGACCAGAGAGAGAGAGAGAGACCAGAGAGAGAGACCAGAGAGAGACCAGAGAGAGACCACAGTGAGACCAGAGAGAGAGACCAGAGAGAGACCAGAGAGAGACCAGAGCGAGACCAGAGAGAGACCAGAGAGAGACCAGAGAGAGGCCAGAGAGAGACCACAGTGAGACCAGAGAGAGACCAAAGAGAGACCAGAGAGAGACCAGAGAGAGACCAGAGAGAGACCAGAGAGAGACCAGAGAGAGATAAGAGAGAGACCAGAGAGAGACCAGAGAGAGACCAGAGAGAGACCAGAGAGAGACCAGAGAGAGATCAGAGAGAGGCCAGAGAGAGACCAGAGACAGAGACCAGAGAGAGACCAGAGAGAGACCAGAGAGAGACCAAAGAGAGACCAGAGAGAGACCAGAGAGAGACCAGAGAGAGAGACCAGAGAGAGAGACCAAAGAGAGAGACCAGAGAGAGACCAGAGAGAAACCAGAGAGAGAGACCAGAGAGAAAGACCAGAGAGAAAGACCAGAGAGAGACCTGAGAGAGACCAGATAGAGACCAGAGAGAGACCAGAGAGAGAGACCAGAGAGAGAGACCAGAGGGAAAGACCAGAGAGAGAGATCAGAGCGAGACCAGAGAGAGACCAGAGAGAGACCAGAGAGAGACCAGAGAGAGACCAGAGAGAGAGACCACAGTGAGACCAGAGAGAGACCAGAGAGCGACCAGAGAGAGACCAGAGAGAGACCACAGTGAGACCAGAGAGAGACCAGAGAGAGACCACAGTGAGACCAGAGAGAGACCAGAGAGAGACCAGAGAGAGACCAGAGAGAGACCAGAGACAGAGACCAATGAATGACCAGAGAGAGACCAGAGAGAGACCAGAGACTCCAGATTTAGAAACCAGAAAGAGACCAGAAAGAGAGGGACCAGAGAGAGATCAGAGGGAGAAACCAGAGACTCCAGATTTAGAAACCAGAGAGACTATAGAGAAATCTGCCAAACCAGTTGAGTCGGTTGTGACGACTTCCTCCTTGGTCTTGTGTGTTTCAGAGCAACACGACAGAGACTTCTTCAGGAACAATAAGGATCAGTCTGTCTGTGTTAGTGACCAGAAAGTAAGTACCATGTGTCTGTGTTAGTGACCAGAAAGTAAGTACCATGTGTCTGTGTTAGTGACCAGAAAGTAAGTACCATGTGTCTGTGTTAGTGACCAGAAAGTAAGTACCATGTGTCTGTGTTAGTGACCAGAAAGTAAGTACCATGTGTCTGTGTTAGTGACCAGAAAGTAAGTACCATGTGTCTGTGTTAGTGACCAGAAAGTAAGTACCATGTGTCTGTGTTAGTGACCAGAAAGTAAGTACCATGTGTCTGTGTTAGTGACCAGAAAGTAAGTACCATGTGTCTGTGTTAGTGACCAGAAAGTAAGTACCATGTGTCTGTGTTAGTGACCAGAAAGTAAGTACCATGTGTCTGTGTTAGTGACCAGAAAGTAAGTACCATGTGTCTGTGTTAGTGACCAGAAAGTAAGTACCATGTGTCTGTGTTAGTGACCAGAAAGTAAGTACCATGTGTCTGTGTTAGTGACCAGAAAGTAAGTACCATGTGTCTGTGTTAGTGACCAGAAAGTAAGTACCATGTGTCTGTGTTAGTGAACAGAAAGTAAGTACCATGTGTCTGTGTTAGTGACCAGAGAGTAAGTACCATGTGTCTGTGTTAGTGACCAGAAAGTAAGTACCATGTGTCTGTGGTAGTGACCAGAAAGTAAGAACCATGTGTCTGTGTTAGTGGCCAGAAAGTAAGAACCATGTGTCTGTGTTAGTGACCAGAAAGTAAGTACCATGTGTCTGTGTTAGTGACCAGAAAGTAAGTACCATGTGTCTGTGTTAGTGACCAGAAAGTAAGTACCATGTGTCTGTGTTAGTGACCAAAAAGTAAGTACCATGTGTCTGTGTTAGTGACCAGAAAGTAAGTACCATGTGTCTGTGTTAGTGACCAGAAAGTAAGTACCATGTGTCTGTGTTAGTGACTAGAAAGTAAGTACCATGTGTCTGTGTTAGTGACCAGAAAGTAAGTACCATGTGTCTGTGTTAGTGACCAGAAAGTAAGTACCATGTGTCTGTGTTAGTGACCAGAAAGTAAGTACCATGTGTCTGTGTTAGTGACTAGAAAGTAAGTACCATGTGTCTGTGTTAGTGACCAGAAAGTAAGTACCATGTGTGACATGTCTGTGTTAGTGACCAGAAAGTAAGTACCATGTGTCTGTGTTAGTGACCAGAAAGTAAGTACCATGTGTCTGTGTTAGTGACCAGAAAGTAAGTACCATGTGTCTGTGTTAGTGACCAGAAAGTAAGTACCATGTGTCTGTGTTAGTGACCAGAAAGTAAGTACCATGTGTGACGTGTTGATGTGTCTGTGCTAGTGACCAGAAAGTAAGTACCATGTGTGACGTGTTGATGTGTCTGTGTGAGTGACCAGAAAGTAAGTACCATGTGTGACGTGTTGATGTGTCTTTGTTAGTGACCAGAAAGGAAGTACCATGTGTGACGTGTTGATGTGTCTGTGTTAGTGACCAGAAAGGAAGTACCATGTGTGATGTGTTGATGTGTCTGTGTTAGTGACCAGAAAGGAAGTACCATGTGTGACGTGTTGATGTGTCTGTGTTAGTGACCAGAAAGTAAGTACCATGTGTGACGTGTTGATGTGTCAGTGTTAGTGACCAGAAAGGAAGTACCATGTGTGACGTGTTGATGTGTCTGTGTTAGTGACCAGAAAGGAAGTACCATGTGTGACGTTTTGATGTGTCTGTGTTAGTGACCAGAAAGTATACGTACCATGTGTGACGTGTTTATGTGTGTGTTAGTGACCAGACAGTAAGTACCATGTGTGACGTGTTGATGTGTCTGTGTTAGTGACCAGAAAGTATACGTACCATGTGTGACGTGTTTATGTGTCTGTGTTAGTGACCAGACAGTAAGTACCATGTGTGACGTGTTGATGTGTCTGTGTTAGGGACCAGAAAGTAAGTATCATGTGTGACGTGTTGATGTGTCTGTGTTAGTGACCAGAAAGGAAGTACCATGTGTGACGTGTTGATGTGTCTGTGTTAGTGACCAGAAAGTAAGTACCATGTGTGACGTGTTGATGTGTCTGTGTTAGTGACCAGAAAGTAAGTACCATGTGTGACGTGTTGATGTGTCTGTGTTAGTGACCAGAAAGTAAGTACCATGTGTGACGTGTTGATGTGTCTGTGTTAGTGACCAGAAATTAAGTACCATGTGTGACGTGTTGATGTGTCTGTGTTAGTGACCAGACAGTAAGTACCATGTGTGACGTGTTGATGTGTCTGTGTTAGTGACCAGAAAGTAAGTACCATGTGTGACGTGTTGATGTGTCTGTGTGAGTGACCAGAAAGTAAATACCATGTGTGACGTGTTGATGTGTCTGTGTGAGTGACCAGAAAGTAATTAACATGTGTGACGTGTTGATGTGTCTGTGTTAGTGACCAGAAAGGAAGTACCATGTGTGACGTGTTGATGTGTCTGTGTTAGTGACCAGAAAGTAAGTACCATGTGTGACGTGTTGATGTGTCTGTGTGAGTGACCAGAAAGTAAGTACCATGTGTTACGTGTTGATGTGTCTGTGTGAGTGACCAGAAAGTAATTACCATGTGTGACGTGTTGATGTGTCTGTGTGAGTGACCAGAAAGTAAGTACCATGTGTCACGTGTTGATGTGTCTGTGTTAGTGACCAGAAAGTAAGTACCATGTGTGACGTGTTGATGTGTCTGTGTGAGTGACCAGAAAGTAAGTACCATGTGTGACGTGTTGATGTGTCTGTGTGAGTGACCAGAAAGTAATTACCATGTGTGACGTGTTGATGTGTCTGTGTTAGTGACCAGAAAGTAAGTACCATGTGTGACGTGTTGATGTGTCTGTGCTAGTGACCAGAAAGTAAGTACCATGTGTGACGTGTTGATGTGTCTGTGTGAGTGACCAGAAAGTAATTACCATGTGTGACGTGTTGATGTGTCTGTGTTAGTGACCAGAAAGTAAGTACCATGTGTGACGTGTTGATGTGTCTGTGTTAGTGACCAGACAGTAAGTACCATGTGTGACGTGTTGATGTGTCTGTGTTAGTGACCAGAAAGTAAGTACCATGTGTGACGTGTTGATGTGTCTGTGTTAGTGACCAGAAAGTAAGTACCATGTGTGACGTGTTGATGTGTCTGTGTTAGTGACCAGAAATTAAGTACCATGTGTGACGTGTTGATGTGTCTGTGTTAGTGACCAGACAGTAAGTACCATGTGTGACGTGTTGATGTGTCTGTGTTAGTGACCAGAAAGTAAGTACCATGTGTGACGTGTTGATGTGTCTGTGTGAGTGACCAGAAAGTAAATACCATGTGTGACGTGTTGATGTGTCTGTGTGAGTGACCAGAAAGTAATTACCATGTGTGACGTGTTGATGTGTCTGTGTTAGTGACCAGAAAGGAAGTACCATGTGTGACGTGTTGATGTGTCTGTGTTAGTGACCAGAAAGTAAGTACCATGTGTGACGTGTTGATGTGTCTTTGTTAGTGACCAGAAAGTAAGTACCATGTGTGACGTGTTGATGTGTCTGTGTGAGTGACCAGAAAGTAAGTACCATGTGTTACGTGTTGATGTGTCTGTGTGAGTGACCAGAAAGTAATTACCATGTGTGACGTGTTGATGTGTCTGTGTGAGTGACCAGAAAGTAAGTACCATGTGTGACGTGTTGATGTGTCTGTGTGAGTGACCAGAAAGTAATTACCATGTGTGACGTGTTGATGTGTCTGTGTGAGTGACCAGAAAGTAAGTACCATGTGTGACGTGTTGATGTGTCTGTGTTAGTGACCAGAAAGTAAGTACCATGTGTGACGTGTTGATGTGTCTGTGCTAGTGACCAGAAAGTATGTACCATGTGTGACGTGTTGATGTGTCTGTGTTAGTGACCAGAAAGTAAGTACCATGTGTGACGTGTTGATGTGTCTGTGTTAGTGACCAGAAAGTAAGTACCATGTGTGACGTGTTGATGTGTCTGTGTTAGTGACCAGAAAGTAATTACCATGTGTGACGTGTTGATGTGTCTGTGTGAGTGACCAGAAAGTAAGTACCATGTGTGACGTGTTGATGTGTCTGTGTGAGTGACCAGAAAGTAAGTACCATGTGTGACGTGTTGATGTGTCTGTGCTAGTGACCAGAAAGTATGTACCATGTGTGACGTGTTGATGTGTCTGTGTTAGTGACCAGAAAGTAAGTACCATGTGTGACGTGTTGATGTGTCTGTGTTAGTGACCAGAAAGTAAGTACCATGTGTGACGTGTTGATGTGTCTGTGTTAGTGACCAGAAAGTAAGTACCATGTGTCTGTGTGAGTGACCAGAAAGTAAGTACCATGTGTGACGTGTTGATGTGTCTGTGTTAGTGACCAGAAAGTAAGTACCATGTGTGACGTGTTGACGTGTCTGTGTTAGTGACCAGAAAGTATACGTACCATGTGTGACGGTTTGATGATGACGGAATGATCTGATGAATGGTTTATGAACACTATAAACAATCACGTCGACTATAAACAACGACGTCACTCAAAGATCCTCCTGTAGATGGAACTTCAGAAGTGAAATGTCTGGGCTCAACCAGGACTAAACCAGGACTAAACCAGGACTAAACCAAGACTAAACCAGGACTAAACCAGGACTAAACCAGGGACTAAACCAGGACTAAACCAGGACTAAACCAAGACTAAACCAGGACTAAACCAGGACTAAACCAGGGACTAAACCAGGACTAAACCAGGACTAAACCAGGACTAAACCAGGACTAAACCAGGACTAAACCAGGACTAAACCAGGACTAAACCATGATAAAGAGGAGCTGGTCCTTGGTAAGTCCCACTCCTCGTATTAGCAGCTCACAGACACATTGTCCTGAAGACATGGACAGAGCTCATACCAGGTGTAGATACCAGGTGTAGATACCAGGTGTAGATGATATCTGTGTGTTTGTGGACGTGACGCAGCCTGTGGTGAAGGCCTCTCCAACACTGAAGCTCTCTTCTTCTGTGTCTCAGGATCCTCCACAAACTTCAGTCTGGACCTGGTCCCAGATGTGAGACCCTCAGGAGTGACTGGTCTAAGGCGTTACCATGGGACTTCAGGAGTGACCAGTCTATGGGAGAACCATGGGACTTCAGGAGTGACCGGTCGATGGGAGAACCACTGAAGTTCAGGAGTGACCAGTCTATGGGAGAACCATGGGACTTCAGGAGTGACCGGTCTATGGGAGAACCACTGAAGTTCAGGAGTGACCAGTCTATGGGAGAACCACTGTGCTTCAGGAGTGACCAGTCTATGGGAGAACCACTGTGCTTCAGGAGTGACCAGTCTATGGGAGAACCACTGAAGTTCAGGAGTGACCAGTCTATGGGAGAACCACTGTGCTTCAGGAGTGACCAGTCTATGGGAGAACCACTGAAGTTCAGGAGTGACCAGTCTATGGGAGAACCACTGAAGTTCAGGAGTGACCGGTCTATGGGAGAACCACTGAAGTTCAGGAGTGACCAGTCTATGGGAGAACCACTGAAGTTCAGGAGTGACCGGTCTATGGGAGAACAAGAGAACTTCAGGACAGAGTGAGTCTCATGGACATAAGTGTCTCAGTCTCATGGACATACAGTGGGGCAAAAAAGTATTTAGTCAGCCACCGATTGTGCAAGTTCTCCCACTAAAAATAATGACAAATGTCAAACGATTACTATAGGTCTTTACCAGGTTTGCACACACAGTAGCTGGTATTTTGGCCCATTCCTCCATGTTTCTGGGCTGTCGCCGAGCAACACGGACTTTCAACTCCCTCCACAGATTTTCAATGGGGTTGAGGTCTGGAGACTGGCTAGGCCACTCCAGGACTTTCAAATGCTTCTTACGGAGCCACTCCTTCGTTGCCCGGGCGGTGTGTTTGGGATCATTGTCATGCTGGAAGACCCAGCCACGTTTCATCTTCAAAGCTCTCACTGATGGAAGGAGGTTTTGGCTCAAAATCTCACGATACATGGCCCCATTCAATCACGACGAGTTGAGTTTATCCCAAACAGTTCTACTTTGGTTTCATCTGACCACATGACATTCTCCCAATCCTCTGCTGTATCATCCATGTGCTCTCTGGCAAACTTCAGACGGGCCTGGACATGCACTGGCTTCAGCAGGGGACACGTCTGGCACTGCAGGATTTGATTCCCTGTCGTCGTAGTGTGTTACTGATGGTAACCTTTGTTACTTTGGTCCCAGCTCTCTGCAGGTCATTCACCAGGTCCCCCCGTGTGGTTCTGGGATTTTTGATCACCGTTCTCATGATCATTTTGACCCCACAGGATGAGATCTTGTGTGGAGCCCCAGATCGAGGGAGATTATCAGTGGTCTTGTATGTCTTCCATTTTCTGATAATTGCTCCCACAGTTGATTTATTCACACCAAGCTGCTTACCTATTGTAGGTTCACTCTTCCCAGTCTGGTGCAGGTCTACAATTCTTTTCCTGGTGTCCTTCGACAGCTCTTTGGTCTTGTGTCATATTGGAGTTTGGAGTCTGACTGTTTGAGGCTGTGGACAGGTGTCTTTTATACAGATGAGTTCAAACAGGTGCCATTAATACAGGTAACGAGTGGAGGACAGAAGAGCTTCTTAAAGAAGAAGTTACAGGTCTGTGAGAGCCAGAGATCTTCCTTGTTTGAAGTGACCAAAAAATTATTTTCCACCATAATTTACAAATAATTTCTTCAAAAATTCTACAATGTGAATTCCTGGATTTTTTTTTCACATTCTGTCTCTCACAGTTGAATTGTACCTATGATGAAAATTACAGACCTGTCATTATTTTAAATGGGAGAACTTGCACAATCGGTGGCTGACTAAATACTTTTTGGCCCCACTGTAAGTGTCTCAGTCTCATGGACATAAGTGTCTCTGTCTCATGGACATAAGTGTCTCAGTCTCATGGACATAAGTGTCTCAGTCTCATGGACATAAGTGTCTCAGTCTCATGGACATAAGTGTCTCTGTCTCATGGACATAAGTGTCTCAGTCTCATGGACATAAGTGTCTCTCTCATGGACATAAGTGTCTCAGTCTCATGGACATAAGTGTCTCAGTCTCATGGACATAAGTGTCTCAGTCTCATGGACATAAGTGTCTCTGTCTCATGGACATAAGTGTCTCGTCTCATGGACATAAGTGTCTCTGTCTCTCCGCAGAGCGGCTGCAGATGTCTCCACTGGTCCGCACCATGGCTCTCACCTGGTCTCCATATTTAAGGTCTGTCATTCAGTCGTTTGTAGATGTTGAGCTGAAGGACTAGTTTCACACAGATGTGACTCATGTCCATGTGTCCTGTTCTCTCTTTATTATACACACACTACACAAAGCTTCAGACGCACAAAACAACACACACACAAACCTGTGACACACTCTGACTTCAGGAGAAAAGACTGGATTAGTCTTTATTGTCTGTGACAATTTGTCTTCAAGGTTCAAGGTGACTTTATTTGTACCCGTGGGTAGATTCTTTTTGCAGTTAAAAAAGAGAGACGCAATAGATAAGTTAAAAATAAAATAAAATAATAATATTGATAATTATAATGAAAATAGTAATAATTAAAGCCGCAAGCGGCGATGAAAGGCCTTGCCACTCTCGCGACCGCCTCCCGGGCGCCAATCCCACAAGTGTCACGCGGCGTACTCGCCGACGAATTGGCAGCCCAATCCGACCAGGATTACGTACATAAAAGCTCATTAATAGGATAAAGTGCGCCCCTAGTGGTCACGTCTGGGACATGCACTCTCTGCGTAGGATAGTATTTTGCTCTCACGGACGTAAAGAATTCATTGTGCGACTTTGGTGAGGATTGGAAAAGTTAAGGTCAGAAGCCTTCCATAGGTGGCGCTATAGAGTCATATAAGGTGTGTATTTTCACACCATTACGCTCAGGCCATTACCAACTGTTAGCTCTGTTCAGCTCTGTAGGTCTGAGCCTGTGGCCCTCAGGGCTCAGCGAAAACGGCCAAAACGAAGGCCTTATTTGCCATGGCGAGGGACGAAAACGGTGATGATTTTCTAACCTTTTTTTGATGATTGTATAACTTCAATCCGTCCAGATTAGGAAATGACGTGGTAGAACTCTGTGTGATGAAAAACCAGGGACTAGTTCAAAGTAAAAAAGGAAAAGTCAAATTAGCGGCGAAACTTCAGCCCATCATGGCCGACTTCCTGTTGGTCCCAGAGTGAGGCCCAGAGAGAGTTTTATGCTCGTCTCATAGAGATCTATCACTGATCTGAATTTCATGTACCTACTCCAAAATATGCATGCCTGGCTCCCACAGGCTTTGCAAATTTGACTTTTCCAGGGGGCGCTATCGAATCGCCTTTTGTCGTTTTTGACCCCCCATGTTCAGACTTTCGTGCCTGTCTTCAGGGTCAAAAATCAAATTGATCTTGCGGAAAAATAATTATATGAAACTGACGAATGAGAGTAGGCCTCCCCAATACAATAATAATAAGGTAAAAGTGGTCCAAAGGTACAAAGTCAGGACTCAGGAGCACAGGTACACTACAGGCAGATCCTCTGTACCTGTGTGCTGTAGCACGGGGACACTACAGGCAGCGATCCTCTGTACCTGTGTGCTGTAGCACAGGGACACTACAGGCAGATCCTCTGTACCTGTGTGCTGTAGCACAGGGACACTACAGGCAGATCCTCTGTACCTGTGTGCTGCAGCACAGGGACACTACAGGCAGCGATCCTCTGTACCTGTGTGCTGTAGCACAGGGACACTACAGGCAGCGATCCTCTGTACCTGTGTGCTGCAGCACAGGGACACTACAGGCAGATCCTCTGTACCTGTGTGCTGTAGCACAGGGACACAACAGGCAGCGATCCTCTGTACCTGTGTGCTGTAGCACAGGGACACTACAGGCTCAGGACCAGCGATCCTCTGTACCTGTGTGCTGCAGCACAGGGACACTACAGGCAGATCCTCTGTACCTGTGTGCTGTAGCACAGGGACACTACAGGCAGCGATCCTCTGTACCTGTGTGCTGTAGCACAGGGACACTACAGGCAGCGATCCTCTGTACCGTGTGTGTGCTGCAGCACAGGGACACTACAGGCAGATCCTCTGTACCTGTGTGCTGTAGCACAGGGACACAAAGGCAGCGATCCTCTGTACCTGTGTGCTGTAGCACAGGGACACTACAGGCAGCGATCCTCTGTACCTGTGTGCTGCAGCACAGGGACACTACAGGCAGATCCTCTGTACCTGTGTGCTGTAGCACAGGGACACTACAGGCAGATCCTCTGTACCTGTGTGCTGCAGCACAGGGACACTACAGGCAGTGATCCTCTGTACCTGTGTGCTGTAGCACAGGGACACTACAGGCAGCGATCCTCTGTACCTGTGTGCTGTAGCACAGGGACACTACAGGCAGATCCTCTGTACCTGTGTGGTGTAGCACAGGGACACTACAGGCAGATCCTCTGTACCTGTGTGCTGTAGCACAGGGACACTACAGGCAGTGATCCTCTGTACCTGTGTGCTGTAGCACAGGGACACTACAGGCAGTGATCCTCTGTACCTGTGTGCTGTAGCACAGGGACACTACAGGCAGCGATCCTCTGTACCTGTGTGCTGTAGCACAGGGACACTACAGGCAGATCCTCTGTACCTGTGTGCTGTAGCACAGGGACACTACAGGCAGATCCTCTGTACCTGTGTGCTGTAGCACAGGGACACTACAGGCAGTGATCCTCTGTACCTGTGTGCTGTAGCACAGGGACACTACAGGCAGATCCTCTGTACCTGTGTGCTGCAGCACAGGGACACTACAGGCAGTGATCCTCTGTACCCAGGCCCGTCGCAAGGGGGGTGCGAGGCCCTGTGTGAACTTGAAACGCGAGGCCCTGCCCTGACACCTTTTTCCCAGATCTCAGGTCAGTTTTCCCGGTTATAATGTTTGATTTTAGCACAGAGATCAGCACGCCGCAGCCGAGTGTCCTCGCTCCAATGCAGCGTCGGGCGCACACACACTCTGTTACGGAGCTTGGCATTACGATATTGGTCGTGGTCTTTTTAGCTGACATGGCTCTTTCGTCCTGTGGCAAAATGGCATCAACCCAAAAGATTGAGCCAAAAGGAGTCTTCTTCTTCTAATAGTTAGATTACGGCAAAATGCGCCAAAATGACTTTGAGGCGGAGTCAATTTTGTTGTATTTGTGTGACAACACACACTCCTCCTCCTCCACACACTGACAACACACACTCCTTCTCCTCCACACACTGACAACACACACTCCTTCTCCTCCACACACTGACAACACACACTACTCCTCCTCCACACACTGACAACACACACTCCTTCTCCTCCACACACTGACAACACACACTCCTTCTCCTCCACACACTGACAACACACACTCCTTCTCCTCCACACACTGACAACACACACTCCTTCTCCTCCACACACTGACAACACACACTCCTTCTCCTCCACACACTGACAACACACACTCCTTCTCCTCCACACACTGACAACACACACTCCTTCTCCTCCACACACTGACAACACACCTCCTTCTCCTCCACACACTGACAACACACACTCCTTCTCCTCCACACACTGACAACACACCACACACTGACAACACACACTCTCTCCTCCACACACTGACAACACACACTCCTTCTCCTCCACACACTGACAACACACACTCCTTCTCCTCCACACACTGACAACACACACTCCTCCCCTCCTCACACACTGACAACACACACTCCTTCTCCTCCACACACTGACAACACACACTCCTCTCCTCACACACTGACACACACACTCTCCACACCTGACAACACACACTCCTTCTCCTCCACACACAGACAACACACACTCCTTCTCCTCCACACACTGACAACACACACTCCTTCTCCTCCACACACTGAAAACACACACTCCTTCTCCTCCTCCACACACTGACAACACACACTCCTTCTCCTCCACACACTGACAACACACACTCCTTCTCCTCCACACACACTGACAACACACACTCTCTCTACTCCTCCACACACTGACAACACACACTCCTTCTCCTCCACACACTGACAACACACACTCCTTCTCCTCCACACACTGACAACACACACTCCTCTCTCCTCCACACACTGACAACACACACTCCTTCTCCTCCACACACTGACAACACACATCCTTCTCCTCCACACACTGACAACACACGCACCTTCTCCTCCACACACTGACAACACACACTCCTTCTCCTCCACACACTGACAACACACACTCCTTCTCCTCCACACTCTGACAACACACGCACCTTCTCCTCCACACACTGACAACACACACTCCTTCTCCTCCACACACTGACAACACACACTCCTTCTCCTCCTCCACACACTGACAACACACACTCCTCTCTCCTCACACACACTGACAACACACACTCCTTCTCCTCCACACACTGACAACACACACTCCTTCTCTTCCACACACTGACAACACACACTCCTTCTTCTCCTCCACACACTGACAACACACACTCCTTCTCCTCCACACACTGACAACACACACTCCTCCTCCACACACTGACAACACACACTCCTTCTCCTCCACACACTGACAACACACACTCCTCCTCCTCCACACACTGACAACACACACTCCTTCTCCTCCACACACTGACAACACACACTCCCTCCTCCACACACTGACAACACACACTCCTTCTCCTCCACACACTGACAACACACACTCCTTCTCTCCTCCACACACTGACAAACACACACTCCTTCTCCTCCACACACTGACAACACACACTCCTCCTCCTCCACACACTGACAACACACACTCCTTCTCCTCCACACACTGACAACACACACTCCTTCTCTCCACACACTGACACACACACCCTCCTTCTCCTCCACACACTGACAACACACACTCCTTCTCCTCCACACACTGACAACACACACTCCTTCTCCTCCACACACTGACAAACACACACTCCTTCTCCTCCACACACACTGACAACACACACTCCTTCTCTTCTCCACACACTGACAACACACACTCCTTCTCCTCCACACACTGACAACACACACTCTCCTCCTCCACACACTGACAACACACACTCCTTCTCCTCCACACACTGACAACACACACTCCTTCTCTCTCCACACACTGACAACACACACTCCTCTTCTCCTCCACACACTGACAACACACACTCCTCCCTCCTCCCCACACTGACAACACACACTCCTTCTCCTCCACACACTGACAACACACACTCTTCTTCTCCTCCACACACTGACAACACACACTCCTTCTCCTCCACACACTGACAACACACACTCCTCTCTCCTCCACACACTGACAACACACACTCCTTCTCCTCCACACATGACAACACACACTCCTCCTCCACACACTGAAACACACACTCCTTCTCCTCCACACACTGACAACACACACTCCTTCTACTCCTCCACACACTGACAACACACACTCCTTCTCCTCCACACACTGACAACACACACTCCTCTCTCCTCCACACACTGACAACACACACTCCTTCTCCTCCACACACTGACAACACACACTCCTTCTCCTCCACACACTGACAACACACACTCCTTCTCCTCCACACACTGACAACACACACTCCTTCTCCTCCACACACTGACAACACACACTCCTTCTCCTCCACACACTGACAACACACACTCCTTCTCCTCCACACACTGACAACACACACTCCTTCTCCTCCACACACTGACAACACACACTCCTTCTCCTCCACACACTGACAACACACACTCCTTCTCCTCCACACACTGACAACACACACTCCTTCTCCTCCACACACTGACAACACACACTCTTCTTCTCCTCCACACACTGACAACACACACTCCTTCTTCTCCTCCACACACTGACAACACACACTCCTTCTCCTCCACACACTGACAACACACACTCCTTCTTCTCTCCACACACTGACAACACACACTCCTTCTCCTCCTCCACACACTGACAACACACACTCCTTCTCCTCCACACACTGACAACACACACTCCTTCTCTCCTCCACACACTGACAACACACACTCCTTCTCCTCCACACACTGACAACACACACTCCTTCTCCTCCACACACTGACAACACACACTCCTTCTCCTCCACACACTGACAACACACACTCCTTCTCCTCCACACACTGACAACACACACTCCTCTCTCCTCCACACACTGACAACACACACTCTTCTTCTCCTCCACACACTGACAACACACACTCCTTCTCCTCCACACACTGACAACACACACTCCTTCTCCTCCACACACTGATAACACACACTCCTTCTCCTCCACACACTGACAACACACACTCCTCCTCCTCCACACACTGACAACACACACTCCTTCTCCTCCACACACTGACAACACACACTCCTCCTCCACACACTGACAACACACACTCCTTCTCCTCCACACACTGACAACACACACTCCTTCTCCTCCACACACTGACAACACACACTCCTTCTCTCCTCCACACACTGACAACACACACTCCTTCTCCTCCACACACTGACAACACACACTCCTTCTCCTCCACACACTGACAACACACACTCCTTCTCTCCACACACTGACAACACACACTCCTTCTCTCCTCCACACACTGACAACACACACTCCTCTCCTCCACACACTGACAACACACACTCCTTCTCCTCCACACACTGACAACACACACTCCTTCTTCTCCTCCACACACTGACAACACACACTCCTTCTCCTCCACACACTGACAACACACACTCCTTCTCCTCCACACACTGACAACACACACTCCTTCTCCTCCACACACTGACAACACACACTCCTTCTCCTCCACACACTGACAACACACACTCCTTCTCCTCCACACACTGACAACACACACTCCTTCTCCTCCACACACTGACAACACACACTCCTTCTCCTCCACACACTGACAACACACACTCCTTCTCCTCCACACACTGACAACACACACTCCTTCTCCTCCACACACTGACAACACACACTCCTTCTCCTCCACACACTGACAACACACACTCCTTCTCCTCCACACACTGACAACACACACTCCTTCTCCTCCACACACTGACAACACACACTCCTTCTCCTCCACACACTGACAACACACACTCCTTCTCCTCCACACACTGACAACACACACTCCTTCTCCTCCACACACTGACAACACACACTCCTTCTCCTCCACACACTGACAACACACACTCCTTCTCCTCCACACACTGACAACACACACTCCTTCTCCTCCACACACTGACAACACACACTCCTTCTCCTCCACACACTGACAACACACACTCCTTCTCCTCCACACACTGACAACACACACTCCTTCTCTCCACACACTGACAACACACACTCCTTCTCCTCCACACACTGACAACACACACTCCTTCT